CCTGACTTTGTCCCCACAAAGCTGGGGTTGGCTTGGCTGGGGAGTTAGTGGCAGTTGTCATCCCAAAAGCCACTAGCTGCCCGCGGTGGGAGCAGGGGCGGTTTGGGGTCGGTGGGGTGGTGTGGGGGAGATCTGGGATGCGCGGGGACAGGGGGCCGAGGCGACAACGGAAGGTGTTTGATGCTTTGCTGGGATACAGGAGTTGCACCGTCCAGAGACCCCAATGGGATTGGGGGGGTCTTGCCCCCCGACATCTGTGAAGGGTTTGAGCCAGACAGATTTTACCTCCATAAACGTAACTGCAGCAGAAGAGCCCCATTTATCCCTGAATTCCAGCCTCAGGCTGCCCCGGAGCAGCAGCAAAACCATCCCAGATTTCTCCCAATAAAGCAATTTCCGAGCAGCCCCGTGCCCGGCAGAGCAGGGCTCCCGCTGTGCCCCCTCCCCATCGCCTGTGTCTGCGCTGTCACCTGACCGTCCCCACGCCCAAGAAACCTCCGTCCCCAAATCCTGCTGCTCCCCCACTGCTGTCACAGATGCTGCTGTTGTCGGTGCACAGCTCTTCCCAATTATCTGTTGTTTTTTCCACGGAAAGAGGTGTCCCCTCCCAGCGACCGGTGCTGAGCTGCTGGGTGACTGCAGATAAATCCGTGCCTCAGTTTCCCCCTCTGGGGACACAGCCCCTGCAGGCCTGGACCAGCAGGCTCAAGCCTGGTCAAGCCTAAACCCACATTTTTGGCCATTTTCCACTGTTGTCTGGCCATCGCTGCCGCGGAGACGTGGCTGCGATCCACGACCCAGGAGCTCTGCGGGCTCTGCCAGTCCCCGGGGAGCCGCGGCCGAGGGGCACAGGGGCAAACCCCCCGCCCTGCTGCGGGTGGGCACGGCTCCTTCCCGGCCACGGGGGTCCCCAGCAGCACCTCGGCGGCGAGGGGACCCCCGGCGAGGGGTGGCAGTGCCGCGGCTCCCCCGTGCCGGGGTCTGCGGCGCCGGCCATCTGCGGCGGGCTCACAGCTGCGCCCACCGCGCTCCTGGCACGGGGTGGGCACGCTGGCTCCAGACCCCCCGCCGGGAGCCCCCGCCGAGGGCCCAGCCTGGCACGGTGCTGGCAGAGCAGCCATCCGGAGCTGGGCACCGCGGGGATGGGGGTCCTGGGGAGCAGCGCGGGGGATCTGGTGGTGCTGGATCAACCCCCGGGGGCAGGGAAGGCGGTGCTGAGCTGCTCCGGCTCCTCTCTGAAGATGCTGCAGCTGTGACGCCGCAGGGATGCAGCCAGGAGGGGAAGAGCCCCCCAGCTCTGCCCTCCCCCAGCACCCGCAGCCCTCTTTCCTTTAAGCCCCCAGGCCAAGCTCTGCAGCAAAAATGAGCCTGCAGCACCTCTGGGGAGGGCCCAGCCTCCTTCCCCACCTTCCCGAGGCTCCTGGCTCCAGGGTGGACCCTGCCGGGAGCTGCAGGGGCTCTGTGAGGGGTGACTCCAGGAGTGGGGGGTGGCCGTGCCCCCCAGCAGCTGTCCCTCCACCCCTCTGATCGATGCAACCCAGCATTAACATAAAATCAATGCCCCCTCCCCTGCCCAGCCCGCGGTCACCCCGCAGCAAAACCCTTTAACCCCTTCACCCCTCCCGGGGCATCCACGGAGGGAGAGGAGGGAGGGACAGGATGGGGGGCCTGTCCTTTCAGCCCTTTCATTCATGCAGGTCCCTGCAACACTCGCTGTCCCCTAGAGCTTTCACACTCACAACACCGAAGGGGAAAACCGGGGACAGGTTCTGGTGACACGACCGTGGGGGTCGCACAGGGGTTGTGGTGGCACAGCCGCAGGGGGATAGCACGTGGCGGAATCCACGTGGAGCCCCAGGGCACGGCAGGGTCAGCACAAACCCTCTGCCTCTGCCCTGCCCCGCTCCTGCCACCGGCACTGCTGGGGACAAGGGACCTGGGCTGGGGACCTGGCGGGGTGGCACCGCTTCCAGTTGGGAGCTGGACAGAGAAGGGTGGGACCAACCTTGCTGAATGCCCAAGGGGGCAGGAACGGGCAGGAACAGGCAGGAATGGGCAGGAAACAGGCAGGAATGGGCAGTAACAAGGCGGGAATGGGCAGGAAGCAGGAGGGAATGGACAGGAACAGTCAGGAATGGGCAGGAACAGGCAGCAGCAAGGCAGGAATGGGCAGGAACCAGGAGGGAATGGGCTGGAACTAGGAGGGAATGCGTAGGAACAGGCAGGAACCAGGCAGGAACAGGCAGGAACCAGGCAGGAACCAGGCAGGAACCAGCAGAAATGGGCAGGAACAGGGACGGAGTCAGGACTGGTGTAGCTGGGTCTCAGCTCTGTGTGCCAAATGCCAGGGGGTGCTGGTGACAGAGGGGTGCCCCTGGCAGTGTCCCCCCCGTGTCCAGCCCCAGGCGTGGGGCGGCCAGAGCTGATGGCCACAATCTGGCAGCAGGGCCGTGCCCACCCTGTGCCAGCCAAGTCCTGGCCCTGCCACACAATCTGCTCTGCTCCCCCCAGCCCCGGGCAGCCTGCCACCCTGCCCAGCCAGGCCTGGCCGGGGGCCTGGCCCTTCCCCAGGGATTCTTCCCCGGGATGGGGAAGGAGGAAGGGGGAGTGTCCAACCCTCCTCCACTCCAGGACCGTGTGCCCGGGGGCGGAGAGGGGGAGGGGGATCCACAGCCTGGGGGCAAAGCAGGAGCTGGGAGATCCCTGGTGGTAGCCAGGGATGATGGTGTGTCCCCAACCCCTCTGGCACGTCCAAAATCCCCCCTTGGTGTGTCCCCAAGCCTCTCTGCTATGTCCCCAAACCTCTTGTGACATCCCACAAGTCCCCTTGTATGTCCCCAAACACCTCAGCGTGTCCCCATAACCTCTTTTATGTCCCCAACTCCCCCTGACATGTTCCCCAAACCCCTGGTATGTCCCCAAACCCACTGACCTTGGCCCCCTGCCCTTTTCCCCACCTGCCCAGGCCCTCACCCCCCCCAACCCCCCAAGCTGAGCCCGGGGCCAGTCCCCCCTTCCCACCAGTGCTGGGGAATTCATTAACCGGCCACAGCTGGGCCCTGCTGGGGAGGCCAAGCTGCAAGGAAAATTAACCTCTTCCTGCCCAGCCTCCCAAGCACTGGACCCCCCCCCACCACGATGTCACAGCTGGCAGGAGGGGATGGTCCCCTCTCAGGGGGTGCTGGGGGGGCTGTACCCAGGGTGGGGGCAGCTTTGCAACCCCAAATTCTTCCCAATCCAGGCTTTTATTTGCAGGGGAAGCTGGTGTGTCCCTTCCCCACACAGCCTGGGAGGGCAGGGGGGGCTTTCTTTGCTCACCCCTATGGAGCTTCCCCAAGCCCGTGTGCCCTGGGGCTGGGGAGGGGTGAGGGTTCATCACTCAGTCCTGGCTTGACTGAACCTGGGAGCCCCCCCCTGCCTGGGCATGGGTGCCCCCCACCCCAAATCTTGCTGTTCCCCCAGCCCACCCTGCAGAGTGACTGTCTCCCCCTCTCCGATGGGAGGGAGAAGCAGAAGTACCCAGACTCCCCCCCCACCTCCCCAGCTCGTTAGAAAGCTTTTATTTCTCTCTATTTACAGACTTCATTAAAAAAAATAAACAACAAATCCCTCCCCTTCCCTCCCTCCCCCTTCACCCCCTCCCCCTGCCCCTGCGTGGCACTGCCCACCCACGGCCCTGCCCCGTGGGGGCACAGGGGGCTCCTGACCATGGGGCCAAGCCCGGGACCCCACTCAGGAGTGAGGATGGGGGGGGGGGGAAGTGGGACCCCAGGAACCAGCTGGCAGTGCCATCACATTCACATTGACCCC